TCTGCCTCCTCCTCTCCCTTGTCCATTCACAAAACGCAAGGCATTCTGTAAATGGACAAGGGAAATCCCGTTGTTCATCCGTCTCACCTCTCCCTTTGTCCATTCACAAAATCCAGGCGATTTGTGAATGGACAAGGGCAGATTCTGTTGTTCTTTAGCCTCTTCTCTCCCCTTGTCCAGGTCACAGCGGTGGAGGAATAGCATTGTGTGTGGTATGTGCAATGAAGGAAGCTAGGATTTGTACAGAAACCAGCAGAGATCCATACATATGATATTCTTCATCAGAGGTACCTTATTTACATTGTGTTGTTTTTACCAAAAACATTCCTGGTGTTCTGCTTTAAAACCCCTTTTCACTCAACTAAGTATGCCACCATGTGTCTATCATTGGGACCTCATATGGGCGTCTGGACCGTGGCAACGGTTACCCTCATCATGAAGTAATTACACCTCTGCAGTCTTTAGGATCTGAAGGAACCCTGCTACTGGCTAGCCAATTCAATGTGACATGGACCCTTGAAGAAGTACCATCCCATTCTGCAGTGCAGAAAATAAAAGACTCTGGACCCAGCATTTCAGGAGGCCGCAGATTTAGGTAAGTAAAAAGGGTTTTTAGATTAGTATTTTTATAAACTAACATGGCAAATAGTTGGGGGCAGAGAGTATGTGTAGAGATAAACTGATGCCCAGAGATCATCTTTAAGGTATTTTCACTCTTCAGACTAGCTATACATATCCTGTATTCCCTCATTCCTGCTAAACAGCGTGGATGGTGGAATCCCCTTTTGTTTTCTGACAGTGGCAGGTGTGCTGTTGTCAGAATCTGTTCCGCCAATAATTTTTGAACTGCCTTCTTCAACAAAGGTCGACTGAAAATATGACAAACTGAAGAGAGAAGCTGATTGGCTTATATGGCCAACTGCTCCAGATTGTGTCTGCTCCAATAAATGTATTGAGACTAGAGCAGACACAATCTGGAGCAGTTGGCCATAAGGCATGTAACGGTAGCAGATTCACAGCAGAAAGGAAAGAACAAAGGGAATCCGAAACAGGATCAATCTGGATGAGGGGAAGAGGTGACCTCTCTATGCCGACGGGCTGATCATGAAACCTTCTGCCAAGTGGCCGGTTGAGCAGGAAGTAGGACCAACTCTTCATGTCACCAATCCAGGAAATCCACAGGAGGTGGGTTCAACTGATGGAGAAAATTGGTGAGGTCATCCTTGGTGTGGAGAACATGAGTTTTAGCGCCTTTGCGTGCCATTAAGCAAGAAGGGTATCCCCAGCAATAGGGAATTGAGGCTTGCCGAAGAAATTCATGACGTGGATGCATAGCCCTGCTTTGCATTAAAATGCGGAGTGAAACATCTGGGAAGAGCTCCATCATAATTAAAAGAAGAAATGGCTTGCATCTTACGCAGGACTGCTTCCTTCACTGTGTACTTGTGGAATTTACAGATCACGTCCCTTGGCTTTGTCAGAGGTGGAGGACGTAGGGCTCTATGTGCCCTGTCAAGCTCTATAGGAGCACCCACAGTGTTACCCAGGATAGAGTTTAATATATCCTGTAGTGTGAGCGCCCGACGCTTCAGGTAAACACCAAATTCAGAGAGTTGTGCTTTGGCTGCGGTTTTTGTAGTCGTCTAGTTGGTTGAGTAGAGAGTTAAACCTTGTGTCCTGGCAGGAGCATTGATCACGTAGCAAGGCCATGGAGTGCAGAGCCTCATAAAATTTTTGCTCTAGCTAACTCTGTGCCCAATTTGAGTCATCTCAGACCGGAGTAATTCAATGTCCTTGCAACATGCACGCTCTAAACGTAGGTCAAAATTTTCTAAATCCTGTTTGGTAGGCAAGGCCTTGATGTGGGTTTTCAAATCATGTAAGTCCCACTCGCTATCATCTCCCCCCGGTCTCGGAGGTGGTATGTGTAGAGCCCAGGGAATATGGGGAGTCTGGTGGTTGGACCAGGGCACTTGGAAGGAGATTGTGAAGAATATGCAAACAAGGGGCCCCATGCGTGTCTTCATCCGGCACCATCTTGGGAACGACTCACCTCGATCCGTGAAGAAGAATCCAGTACTCCTTTACGTCATTTTGGGGTATGCTGAGATTGCGGTGATGAGTGCTTCTTAGTCAGCATGGGGGGAAGAAGAAAAAGGCTGTAGAAACCTCCTGGAAAGCCGGTGAGTTAGCAGAAGATGCGGAAAGAACACGCCTTAACCTACTCCTGTCCAAGCCATGCCCCCCACCTAGTTGTCTTTCGTTGCTAGGGTGCATATGGCTCCTTGCTGCCTAGCATCCTTTATTGATAGGAGGCAGGTGGCTCGAACCCTCTAGCATCCTTTGTTGCTAGGATGCAGGTGGCTCAAGCAGCCTAGTGTCCTTTGGTGCTAGGATGCAGGCAGCCTGAGCCGGCTACTATCCTAGGTACCAATAGGCCACCTTTGCGCTATACACTGTACACATGTAAACATTGCACAAATGCTACATGCGTACAGCATACAGAACACTTTTTCTTTCACAAAATAATAAAAAAGCACGTAGCAAACAATGCAAGGCTGGAGTAAAGACAATCACATGCAAATCACAGCATTCCGGGCAAGAGACCCAAAACATGACCATGACTGTGAAATAAACCATTGCCAAATACCCTTGGTGAGGTTTCAAGGGGTCAGAGCACCAGCAAAACTCTGTGTGTTAGTTGGCATATTTTCATATGGCCGTTTGCACGTGCCGCTAGACAGTGCAGGAGAGCTGTGCAGTAACATATAGAAGCCAATCAGCTTACAGCGGTCAGAATAACGAAACATGATTTCTGATTGGTTGCTAGGGATTGTTGGCTTCCACTCTTTGTCCCATTAATTAAAAGCCTATGAGATCTTCCCTAGAGATACAATACATTACAGCACCACTTTCCATAGCTCTGTTGCATATGGGTCAATGAACCTTGAGTAATGAGCGCAACAACGCAGAGAAAATCTGTTCTATTGATCACAGAAAGCTTCTGCCCTTCTGTTTTGAAAACTGGCGCTCCAGAAAAGTGGAGACCTGCATTTTTATGTACCTGATCAATGCAGTCCTCTGCAAAGGCACGTAGAAAACAACTCTTCTATGTGCCCCGTTCACACCACAACTGAGCAGGCAGGTGCAGAAAAAAGGTGCATTTCTGTCTTTTTCTGCAATGCAGCGCATAGGAATGCAATACAACTGAAAGAAAAAGCAACCCACAAAAGGAAAGTGATGGCACTGGAAATAGGGAAAACCTATTAAAAAAAGACACCCATCAACGGATATCAATGTGGATAAAAATGCACTGAAACTTGCATGTAAATGCATATCAATGCCTTAAGGCTTCGTTCACAAGGGGGCACCGGCATTCCTGCGGCAACAAACTATGGATTCCTGTGGCAGGAATCCCAGGTGTCCCTGTTCAGATGCGGCCACTGCACCCATTGAAATAAATGACCGGGTCACATCTGTAATTAGGAGTCTGCATTGATCACAGACATTTCCCAGCAGGCTGGAAAGTTTGTGTGTCTATCATGTACATACATAAGGAGAACGTAATAGAACCTACTGTGTGTTATGGAATCAGCAAGAACAGACAATGCTTGGATATTCACTCTTTTCAGACTACTTATAATCTGATTGTTACATTGTTTTAAACAAACTGTAAGAAAATCTAAATTTAAATGATAATGTAAATATATGCTTACGTCAATATTTTGCTACCAATATAATTGTCAAATTTGCAACATTCCATGCAACACATATGGAAAATCTATAGTTTACTGTAAAATAATTATTGTAATGCTCTTAAACTATTTTTATTACATTAAGCATAAAAAAATATATCTATATAAATTGAAATATGTGTTTGAAATATAACAGCTGCATTGGGCACTTGTGTGACGCAGGTAAAGAACTCCAGGCACATCAAATCTTAACCCTTGCAGTGGGGCTACCCCCGCACTGCAAGGGTTAAGTGCTTGTTTTTGCCTAGGAAGCTAAAATAACAGAGATCTACTCACCTGAACCATGATGCCAGCTGGCTCCTAGACATGTCCCTTCAGCCACACTCCTCCTCAGCTCCAGAGGTGGACGGTCCCTTTATGTCCTCACGTCCTATACACTGTATAGGATGTAATGACTCACAGGACCTTAGTCCACCGGAGCAGAGGGGGAGTGAGACTGAAGGGACCAGTCTAAGACCAAGCTGGGATCGTGCTTGGGTGAGTATATCTGTAGTTTTACCTCCCTTGGCAAAATGAGTACCTAACCATTGCAGTGCGGGAGTAGCCCCACTGCAAGGGTTAAGATTTGATGGGCCCAGAGTTCTTCTTTAAGGCATGCTTTACTGCAGTAAAACTACACCTAAAACAATAGCCACTTCCATTGGCGCTTATTGGGGTCACAGACACGTGATCATGCCCCAAAGAAGCTCTTGTACTTTCCGACAGCACATCACTCAGATGTCAATGGGCACAATAGAATGACAAAGAAATCTGAATGTCGAGCATTGAAGCAATTCTCGGAAAATGCTTCAAATCTTTCAGATGTAAATGGGGGCTTGAGTATTTCCACATGCTTTCCACTTGCTGTAGCTTACTTTCTTTTCACAGCAGGTGTGTAGAGATGCAGGGTAGCATATGTAAAATGCCCTATTCGTACATTTTATTGCATGCATCAGCTTACAAAATGCAGCAAGTAGCGTTTCCCTGTTATATAGATGCAGAAAATGAATGTAAAATGTAAACAAAGCACAGAAAAAGCGAAACGTGACAAACTGTAAAACCTACATGTGCATTTTTAATCTCTAAAGGGTAAAAGGGAAATACCGCAAGGCATTAAATTGCAAGCTCCTGGGACAAAGGGAACTGATGCGAATGGAGTCATTCCTAGCTTTTTAAATGAATAGGCTATGTAAATCAACGCACACAGTCAGAACCCATCTGTCTTGAAAGGGTTAAAAGCCACTTCCACAGACAGAATGGCTCAACCTGGGGACTATGCTGGGGAGATGGCTGGATGGTTTTGCACCAGATACCAGGGAGGGACAGGAGGGGAGGAGTTCATGGTGGCCTCCAGGGGGTTTCTTTGTGTTGGATTCAGCAGCAGTAGCAGTAGCAGCCTCCAAGCTGCAGACCCATGGGTCCATGCAAATTCAGCTATCATAAAGTGTCAAGCCCTGCACCTCCTGTCTCCTGCTCAGCATCCTCTGTGCTCTGAGCATCCATCTACTCCGCTGTGCAAACCTCACACAAAGGCAGCCAATAATCCATCCATAGCAAAAAGGCTCCAAGAGCCCCCAACGCCCCACATAGCCTTTCTCCGCCTTGCTGGAACAGAAGAGGAAGGTGACCGTGTGGATCAGCGCAGGTATCTGGAGCATCTCTTTGGTAAGCAAAGCATCCATTTATTATTGTGGTGCTAAGCATGCGAGCAAGCATTTAATCAATAGGACATACATTCCCTCCAGTAGGATCTATCATTTCCAATTAGTCCTTCTGATAAAAAGGCTTTGAATTATTAAAAATCTGCATCGTGAAGGTTTGTACCAAGCGCAGCTATGTCCTTAACAGAAAATGTGCCCCCCATTTTGCAATCAAGAACTTTGGGGTTCGTTAAAATCTTTGGGGTTAATTGAAAGCTGGGTTCTTTGAAAGCTTGGTTCTGCTGGTTGTGCTTCTTTGGTACCTGGATAGAGATATTCTGTGATAAGAAACGGGCTTTCCCTTCCATTCCATTGTCACTGGAAGACAATCGGGTTCATCTCGAGACTTCGCTGCATGCATGCTGGACATGTACTGTATTCTAAAAGGAGATCAGGACATCACCATGCAGATGAGGCACTAGTTATCATTTTGGATGAATGAGGTACCCTGGTTCCCCATCCGCACTATAGAGATATGGATGGAGTTTAGGAAGGAGCTATGGGGAAGCTGAGTTGTGAGTCTTGCAGCAGATGGGATGCAGGGATGCCAGTTTTTCATATTACACTGGAGTATGTGTGATCAGAACCCCCTCCCCTCTGATGAGAGTGTTACTCCTTTTGTTTAGCATCTGGAGGCTCCTCATTACTGTAATTCATCGTACACATCCCCGGTAGCAGGCAAAGGAGGTGCTGCATCTCACGGCTTTGGATGATCTTGTGGTTTTCCTTTACAGGGGCACTCAGCATTAGTCCGGCACGATGGTGAAACTGGGCAATAATTTCAGCGAGAAGGGGGCAAAACCCCCTATGTGCGAAGATGGATTTGATACCATCCCCTTGATGACCCCTCTGGACGTCAATCAGCTACAGTTCCCACCCCCCGACAAGGTAGGTACAGAGGGTGGGCATGGAGACACGGGCCAGTCTGCCCTGGAACTGCCAGGTAAATTCTGTATGAATGATACGTATTAAATGTCTTATAGGGCAGAACATGGGTATAAAGTAATTCAAAAGCAATGTATTACTTATTTAATTAGGGCTATTAAAATGTTCCTATTAAGCATTCCTATTGGCTGCATGAACTGTAAGGACTCAGGTACACGTGAATGTTTTTTATGGCTTGTAAGCATTACATTTCAGCCCCAGTTGCTGAGATCAGTATATTGGAAAGGGTACATTTCAACAAAGGGTTAAAACCCCGCTTGCGAACAAATAAATCCTCCCATATAATCTGCACCCATGGCACAGATTAAAAGGCTCATCGTTTTTTGTCTTGCCTGTTTTTGCATTAATTACGACTGAGAGAGCGGCCTTAACCCATGGAATATATTGCTGCATCACAGAAGGTGTTTGCCAGCACAATACCGTTATTAGGCCCACCATGTCAACCAGCCGCTGCGCTTTCAGATGGAATTTGCATTATGTATTTATTAAAAAATCATGAGTTTTTTTTTATATATAGACCAAAGAAGAAAATGGCAGCCGCTCAACTAATTTATAGATAGCTAGGGAAATGAGGGGTGCAATTCACAAAAAGAGCACAGCTCAAAAACACTTATTTCCCAGCATGCAGCAAACATGACCCAATTCAATCCAATTAAATATGTCTCTATTTTTGCCATTAAAATAGAGGTCTCTGTTGCATATATTAGCCAAAAGAGGCTAACGTGACCCTGTAATTTACCCGTGTGCTCTCCCATCACCTTGTTTTCCTACCACACAGAGATTCCTACTACCTCCGGGTACGGGAGAGCATGTGGCCCTCTCCTCATATTCCCATAATGGCCAAATAGCCAATCGCCACATCTGAGCATTGGCACATGTTGGTGGGAGGGCCCTTAACCCTGTGTAAGCTCTGACCAGGTTGACATGGAACTAGCACAGGGTTTTTTCACTTGGCTCTGGCAGACAAATATGGTGGTGTGGGGGG